GATGTTGAGTGGGATGATGCCCATAGTGGTATCTCTAGTCTTGCTCTGTCCTTGTTCACTTATCATGTCGTTCGTTGATTGTTGATAGACCGTTGCGGCGCAATAAGCGCATGCGTACACCTCTTTAAACAGACTTATGTCACCGCAGCTAAAAGGTCTTAGGAAGATACGCGCAGAAGGACAGATCACACAAATAAATTATCACACTTCTTTGGTGCGGTGACATAAGCATGTTGGTTGTGCGATTAAGTTGGATACTGTGAGCCTCACAGTGTGAGGTTCTGTTAGTGTCTACTCCGTAGCCATCTTGGCTCAAGTGCGGGTTGGGTTCGTTGGTAAACCTATTAATATGACGAGGGAACTCTGGTTAAAATAGGATCTGACTAGGAAGTACGTATGCGAAAATTAAATGGTCAAATTGACTAGGTCAACATGGCAGTGTCGATAGTGCAACACTGTGTGGTGGACAAACTTCAAGCGTATGTGTAAATGCCAGCAGCCAGCAGCTGAAACTTGCAGCCTGTAAGTGGTATATCGTTTCACTGAGCAACCACTCGAATCCGAGTGAGTGGAAAGTTTTGTCACCAAACGGATGCAGGCGTGTAAGGATTCCTCAGAGCTCCCTGCCAGTGTACATTATGTACACGTCGGCGCAATGTACAGTATATTGCGCCGGCGTCCATAGTTTGATCGATTATAGAACGGTTGAGCTGTTATAGCACATATATAAGAGCAGCATTAGTGTTTGTCCCCTGTCACTAGTCTAGTATGGACGGATCCCCTAACAAGGCGCGGAGAGTCTCCGCGGAGACCGCGCATTTACCAATTTTTTTCATGCCAACTTTTCAATAGCATACCTTGGGCGGACACTATATTTCATATGATGCTTAGGCTGGCAAAGTCACAATCTCGTAAATCCAACCTTCGATGCCATTCAGGAAACCCCGTTAGACTAGGCCGAGAAACATGCTCTGGCTCTTGTGCGTCTTAGCTCTGGCGTAAAATCTTGGACTTCAAACGAGTTACATCGGGCAACTACTTTATGCAACCGCTTCTACTATGCAGGAAATGAGGAAGGCTCCTCCTTCCCAACAGCTCCTAACTCGCCGAACCTCTGCAGCGCCTCTTGGCCGATTAGTACTCGGCGAGTAGTCGACTGGCCAAGGCTGTCAAGGATCACTGGGTGCGAACCCATATCCTGCAAAGTATCTCTAGTACAGACTCTTTGCAGTCGATCCTTTGCAGTATTCCTCGCTGGAGTACTGCATATACCCCATATAGATTCTCTGCAGGATTCATGTATAGCACGCTCGAGGACGTGTATGTACACACAATCGCCGTGATGTGACCATCTCTAGTAGAGATTCTCTACCGGGTACTTTGGGCACTAAGGCGAAACAAGTTAGATTCAGAGTTTTAGAAGGTACTCTAATCAATAGCTGCAGACATGTGGCCCGTGCATATGATTTGGGTACCAGCCAGGAAATCTCCTCCGCCCCAGGCCAATGACCGAGCCCCGATCACGGGGTATTTCAGCAGCACTCTCCCTACATATCTGAGTATGCAGCACTCCAAATTAATTTGGAATATAATCTAAAATTATCGGTACTCGATAAATAGAGCGGGTTAAGCCGTGAAATCGGATTATGTCATGCTTAGTTTTATTACATTCATTGCCACAGAATTTCTCGGCCGTTTCATGCAAGCTGGTGTCAATATGGGCGAGTGAGTTTTTTCGCCCGTGTCAAACATGCCAAATTAAACTGGAATATGTGCTGACTAACCTTCCTATTCAACGACTCGGTCGCAATATAAGGTTTTGGAAACGAACTAAGACACTCATGTAATCATGCTAAGAGTACTTAACTTGCTAAAAAGTCAATTGTACACCCTTTTCGTTCCAGAACAGCACAGCGGCCAGTGCTGGTGTAGCCGCACAGAATGTTACATGAATGTGGGTGTTGTGGGAGAACCAGAGTGTTTAAGTAGTTTTTATTGTTTCTGTGAAGTGCCTTGGGTGTTGTTTCAATTAGGCAGGGATTTAAGTTGTAGATGACGGTGAAATCCGCCACCAACCGAATGGTTTAATATTGAATGAAAATCCAGTGAATGAGTGGTAGTTAACTTCGATTTCATACGGAAATGGGGAAAGTATCGTCCTGGATAATGGTCACCTCGTTCATTGTCAGTTGCTTAATGTGTTTTATGCGTGACGAGGGATAGAAGTTTTGCGACGGCACTGCAGGTCTCGTAATGAGATGGTATACTAGTGAGGGTCGCTGACGTATAGTTGACTTCGAACGGTGTTAACTTGTAGTGGCTTAGAATTAAATAGCTCTGGGATCCACGCACAGTGCTATGTGTCAGACATAATGTGTTACCCTGTAACTACTACATATATATTACTTATACTTATGATCTTATACGAAATTGAATGAGCAGCTTAATGATAGTCATCCTAGTGATTTGAATCATGTTAAGAAGGCTTTTTCTTGCCTTGGATTCGACGGCCTTCGATGCGTTAGAGCTCGGGCCTCACCGGAACCCGTTGGTTATTCGCCGAAGACTGCCGAGACAAATTCGTAAACAAGAGCTCCTGTCCGAGCAGCAATTGGATCACAAAGAGAAGAGAGAACGTGGGTTAGACGGTGATGGCGAAAATAGGCGACCGAAAAAGTAAGATAGCTGTCGGTAGGCATGCGTAGTGACAATTCAGACGTACAGCGGCTGAGAGGCGAATAGGCATGATAAAAGAAGAAGAAATAAAGGCCGGGTAGGTGAGGGAGTTCGTCCATCTTCACGGGAGTGTGCTCCTCGAGAAAAACAAGCTGTATTGAATGTGTCTGTCGAGCCGTGTTGGAATATGTCCATGCAGTTGCCTGAATATGTTGTTGGCAGGACAGGAAAATTTTGGGAAAATTTCCTGAAATTCTGTTCGAATTTTCCTCCCCTTAGAATCAAAGAATGCATTTCCTGTACACTATACGAGGAAATTACGGAGCCGAGTTGAGGAAGGCCGACAAACATTCCAGAACTGTCCACAAGAACGTCTTACCAGTATAGAGGCATGCGAGAAAGTTCGACAGGAAATTTGCTCCTAGTGAAACAAGGAGTATGCTCCCACTGGGAACATTTGATAGTCCTCTATGCATCTCTGGGTGCGTGAAACTCAGGAATATATCCATTGGACTGTGGAAACGTGAGGGGAAAACTTTGAGAGAATTAGTTTTGGGGGCAAAAAATATGATAGGTAGGTGGGATTGTTAGGACTCGGCCGATGAAGATGCAGTAGATACTTTAACATTGACGATGACGCGCTAACATCGGTATTTGCTATTTGTGGAATAACTCTATCTAGTTTCTCGTGACGCGTCAACTTCTTTTTTTCAGGGTTCTTCGCGCCGCTCCGGGACAGGACAAATCCGAGTAAGCACTTCGCCTATTCTTTTGATTCTTCACTCCTTCAGCTACAGGACTTCCGGGTCGTGTTTCCGACTTGCACACTCTTATATACGATCGTCGCGCATCCGGAAGAAAATAAATTATCCGAGCCCAATTGGATTATCGGATTCGATCGCGTAGCAGATCCGAAACACCGCATTCAAATACCCATTTGTTACAAGTCACAGATGATCGGAGAATTGATGCGTTAATATAGTTGCTGGTTTTCAGTCAATCTATGCGAGTACTCCAGAGCCTGAAGAAAGCGCACGAGATTGGTGCCACGACGCAGAAGTGGACTAATTTAGCGAACGAAGTGGGTTGATGTTAACCGAAGGAGGTGATTCAGTTGTTAGGTTCATCACTTGGTGGACGAATTGAAGACTCGCGAGTTGGCGACCGTTTTAATGGTTTTCGCTGAGGCGGGGTATCGAGACAGAACACAGGGTACCTCAGCGATTGTGAAACGATTAATGGTGAGACTGTATATATTTAGGGGGCATGAACGGCAACATTTTCGTAAATAGTCCCGGAAACTGCACCAAACTTCTGAAGACTTTTGGGAGTCTGCGGGGAGTTCCGCACTTCTTAGAGCGATTCGGACAGGATCACTCGGAGCGTAAATAATGGGAGGCATCCTGTAGATTATACAGGAGCCTGCAGTGTAGATTTTTATGGGATTTCAATTCGTTAATATTACAATGTGAAGTTCGTTCCACAAAGAAAGGATACAAATAATGGGATATAGGCTTGCATGTATTGGTTCGAGTTATAGTATAACAAAGGAAGGACCCGTAGTTGGCTTCAGGAGGTCGAACCGTTCGACTTCTTAAAGCCTACCTTGTCATTGACCGGATAATATCCTGTTAGGTGCGCACCGACGTTACTTCCTGTTTAATGGCAATGATGGCCTTGCAGAAATCGGGTGGCAAGGAAGCCACACCAGTTCTCAAAGAGCTCTCCGAGACATTTATTCGATTGGCTTTTGATAAGGGTGTGGAAACCGCGAATGGGTGATCACAGGGAAATCGCGCGCTTGTCAGAAACATCAACTGATCAGTTACAACATAGCAAAGATGACCTTCGCCGATTTAAGGCTGACAGCCGCGGCGTTGGCGAGGTTGCCGTTTCTTCACAGTAGACTCGAGGACTGGTTCGTTGATGATTTGTAAGTTCCCTGGATAATAGTGTTTATATGCATCTTGCAGGTTCAACTCTCTGACCGAGAAAGTTCCGCACGTCAGTGACCCAAGGACATTGCTGTCTATCCTGTGAGACCTGGAGGGGTTTCGCGTCGAATTGTCCTTTCACTGTTCGAGCTGAGTTACACGCCTATGTATGCGCCTGCTGAAGCCCGTGCAGTGATGGCATCAATAGGCTATCGGCTCCTAACATTTATTAGTAGACCTCGTGGCGCAATGGAAGCGCGTCGGTTTCCGGAGCCGAAGGTTGCGGGTTCACGTCCCGCCGGGGTTATACACGTTAGGATCCTGCTTATACTGCTATAGTTACTAACTGACAGTTAGTATAACTCACTAGAGACCAAGGCTTACGATAAATACTCTGGGCGGGACTTCAACCCGCAACCTTTGGATTAAAAGTCCAACACTCTATATTGGCTCCGATTGAGCCACCAGAGCTGCGTAATTGGCCGACACTCTCGACTTGTGCTGCTTCATGAGCAATCACTAAACGGCTCGTTCATGCCCTGACAGCTCATGGGTAGCAGCGGAACAGCATGAGGTCTACTCTAGAGTTCCCATTCCGAGAGCGCGAAGGCGACCAGATAGATGTGAACATTGGTTGTTTGCGCCCCGAGATAGCGCACCCAGTAGAGCCCCCTCGAGCTCAGAGCCAAATCAAGTCCTCTCGAGCTCAGAGCCAAATCAAGTCCTCTCGAGCTCAGAGCCGAATCAAGTCCTCTCGAGCTCGAAACCCAATCAAGTCCCCTCGAGCTCGAAACCCAATCAAGTCCCCTCGAGCTCGAAACCCAATCAAGTCCCCAGGAGGTTGGGCCCCAGGAACTGAAATGTAACCGAACTTCTCTTGGCGGCATCAGAGACATTGTAGCGCGAGTGGTACCAGTTCCCGGAGCCGGAGAGTGCGGGTTTGAGCTCCACCGGCGTTATTCGTGTAGATTTACAATGCCTCATTTTCAAGGAGTGTTGTTTCCACAATAATTGCGTGAATTTCAAAATGGTCTAACACGGAGGGGTGCTGTGGATTCCGGTGCTCAAGTCCAGCGCTCTATCCGATTCATCCGCCGGAGCACAATGTTAGTCAAGGAGTAATAGCCGTTCGAAGGCCGTATCTGGCAGGGCCACCAGATCACATCTTAGGCGCTACAATTTTAACAAGCGCCATTTCTAAGATGCGGGTGGGAAAATGATGGATCGTGCGTTACTTCGCTCCGTCGCAACACTACCGGGGATTTGAACGATCCGATCACGCGTAACATTGTTTCCCGTCTTCATTGCCAAAACAACCATCACAGTACACGACGAAGTCGCAAGCCAAAACGGGTATTACCAATGGAGAACAGCACAACCGTAACTAATTCAGAAGCACGGTGCGGCTAGCACGCATACACATGTGTACATACGTGCCCGCTCCCTTTCATTGTTTACACGTCACCGACTTTATTTAACGTGATAATGGCTTACGCTAGACCCTTCTCCTGGACAGACCGCGCCGGTAACACTTACCACTACTATGAAAACCCGCTGTGGCTGGCCTGTGTGTTCATACTAATGCAAGAGCTCTGTGAAAGGTTGGCCTTCTATGGTCTTACCCCGAATCTCCAACTTTTTCTCAAGGATTATCTCGGCTACGCGGACACCCAAGCTGACTCATATGTGTCGATCTTCAATGCTATCCTTTATGTAACCCCGCTTCTGGGTGGCATTCTGGCGGACACCCTTGCCGGCGTATACTTCACAATTCTGGGCTTTTCATTGTTGTACATGCTGGGCTTGGTTATTCTAACACTTGCATCCA